CAGCAGAGAAAAAGGGGGGGGGGGGGGGGGGGGGAGGAGGAGAGGGAGAAAAAAAAGGAACTGACTGGGGCAGCAAAACTTGATGGGGGAGGGTGGGCTGGGTTGCATCGCCCCTCCCCCCAGGGGGGCACGCCTCCCAGTTTGGGAACCCATGACTTAGAAGCATCAGCATGCCACTTGTCTTTTTCTTCAGCGCTGGCTTTGTTGGCTGATCTGGCTCAGCACCTCTCAATTCAGCCCCAACACTTAGAAGTTCCTCTGTTTCCAGTCCTAATGCAAGTTCAAACTTTGCCTTGGTAGCATCCTCGACAGCAGATGAAAGAAACCGCATGTACTTATGGCATGGTCCTAACAAGGAGGCAATAAGTGCCAGTTAGGCAGTTATGTTAGGGTCACTGGGTGTCATGCAATGCTACAGAGAGGGACCAACATCATTTCTGAAGGTATTGACAATTTTATTCTCAGAAACAGCTTCACTTTTCAGGTGAGTGTGGAGAAGACTGTTGCAAATTGGGTAAATATTTGAAATTGACTCTGTTCCCCAGACATGACAGTCATGTAGTAAGATGAAGGCCTAAAACAAAGCAGGCTGGCCCCTGCTTATAGAACTTAGCATGAACAGGGCTGAGAGCAAAACACCAATTGGTCCAGGTATAGAACAGGAATTGGTACTGGTCATAACTTGAAAGTATGACTTGGTACCACCAGCTCATTAAAAAAGACCTTGGTAAACACTCCCCACAGATTACCGATATAGGTTCAGGAAAGGATCTAAAGTGACAATACGATGGATAGAGATGATCTAAATAAACCATGAGGTACAGGGTAATGCGTAGTATCTAAGAAGCGTCAGAGTGGCAGCCTGACACGTCAGCAGTGATGTGTAAGTTGTTAGCACCTGTATATAAAGCAGTGTGTCTTGGGGGAGGCAGTCTTTGGAGGAAATGGAACTTTTCCACTGATTGAGTCATTCCATTGTTGAATTGCATATGCGTAGTGGTTCAGTAGAGTCTACTGAAACTATTACTATACTTTGCTTGACAATAAACCTTCAATCCTTATCTGATTTGTGGTCTTTGGGGGCTCTCTTGGGGTCTGCTGTGGAGACTGAGTTCACAAGTCGATACGGCACACATCATTGAGTACATATGCAAGCAGACTTCTGGTTTTCATCAATGGAGCCAGAGACCTGTGAGAACCCCTCAGCAGTAAATCCTGACCCCTCCTGACTAATTGCAAGTTGTAATGCACTTTGAAGTGGAAAGCACTGGTAAGAAATCCTCTATTAATTTCCGTTGCTCATCACGCAGCTGAAGGATGCAGGCATCAGTTTGTCTTGTTACAGTGCTATCAGAAAGCACAGCTGCTATTGCCCACCTTTGTTCAGTGAGTCTTTTGAAAACGTCAGACTGAATTCCAGTGAGTTTTACATGATCGGATCAGATGATGTTTCTGAACTTGAAGCTGAGTTTGTTTTCTTTCTAGTGCTTTAGTAGCCATGGTACAGCGGTGGAAGTGCCCAACTAGTTGACTTGCTGTGGCAATTGTTTTCTGGGAATTTGTTTCCCAGAAGTCATCATTTATGGCTAGCTGCAAGGCATGGGCAAAGCAACTGATGGATTCCCATGTAACAAATCTTGGTGAGTTAGCGCACACAGTATTGCTTGCATTGTCACGCACACACACCAGGACACTTTCAACACCCATCTTTCAACTACAGCATGCAATTTATGGCAATGTTTTCTGCTATGTTTGATTGTCAATTTGTAGAACTATGGATTGCAGCTTCCAATTATTGATGTAATGGCAAGTGACAGTATTGTAGCTTTTAGTATTTTAATGCAGTCCAGCAGCCCGTGGTTAAAGCTACGGTCTCAGCTTTGTCCAATTTTTCCGGGAGAATCTTCACACAGGCTTCATAGCAATGTTCTACTCGCAAGGTCATCGTCTGTCTCATAGGCACACGGTATTCAGGTTCCACAAAACTCATCAGCGCACGAAAACTGGCACCCTCAATGAAACTTATGGGAAGCATATCTGCAGTGATTACAGTGCACAACAATTCCATCAGTTGTTCCTCACATTGTACGCTGCATCTCCTCAAAGATCTCCCAGAACAAATACTGTCAACGTTGCTTGCTGTGTGCTTTCTGGCTCACATGAAACACGTGGGCGCTTCAGCCTCAAATGGTTGCGCATGACTTCAGTACTCCTTGCATATGTTAGCTCTGCAGAACGTAGTTTACATTTAAGTGTCTGCACTTGGTTGTGTGAAATAATTCCAGCCAGCACTCCTTTTTGATAGCTCCTTCTTAACAATCCAGTAGCGGTCACCAACAGTAAAATAAAACAAAAACGACAATTGCTGTTTGAACTATGAAGCTGGCAAGGTGTTACAAACAGGTGAGACCCCAAACACATTTGTGCTGTATTTTGCCCAGGGAAACAAGGACAGGTGGTAGCTGCTTGAAGATGGCTACCAAAATGTGAAGGTGAAGGATGGAAACAAAGACACAGTAGGAGGGAACTGAAAGGACACCAGCAAAATGTAAAGGAGGAAGGATTACTTAGCGTATGTCTACACTACAGCGCTAATTCGAACTAACTTAGTTCGAATTAGTTAATTCGAACTAAGCTAATTCAAATTACCGGATCCAGACTAAAAAACTAGTTCGAATTAGCGTTTTGCTAATTCGAACTAGCATGTCCACATTAAGTGGACCCTGAACCGGGGATAAGGATGGCCGGAAGCAGTGCCGGCAGGGCATCAGATGAGGACTTAGAGCATGGAGCTGCTGCCTCAGGCTAGCCAAGGGCTGTGCTTAAAGGGTCCCGACCCCCACCCCAGACAGACAGTTCTCAGGGGTGCCCCGCTTGCAAAGCAGTCCTGGCTTGGAGTGCCCTGAGTGCCCACACTGGGCACATCACACCACTCGGCCATCAGCCCGGCTGCACTTGCCGCAGGCTGCCATCTGGGGAGAGGGGGCAATTGGGGGGC